AACAGAGGCTCAGACATCCTCTGTTGTAGACACAATAATCTCGGCAGATACCACAACAGCTGAGGGAAGAACTTCTTCTTCAGTGGACACAACTGCTGCAGATGTGACAACCACAGCAGAACAGACATCCATTGCTGAGGTCACTTCTACAGCTGCAGTCACAACAGCAGTTGCAGGTCCTTCCACAGCTGAGGGAACAACTAGGCCTGTGGTGGATACAACTGTTGTGGATGCGGTAACAACAGAGGCACAGACATCTTCTGTTGTAGACACAACAATCTCGGCAGATACCACAACAGCTGAGGGAACAACCTCTCCTTCATTGGATACAACTGTTGCAGATGTGACAACTGCAGCAGAACAGACATCCATTGCTGAGGCCACTTCTACAGCTGCAGTCACAACAGCAGGTGCAGCTACTACCACAGCAGAGGGAACAACTAGTCCTGTGGTGGATACAACTGTTGTGGATGTGGTAACAACAGAGGCTCAGACATCCTCTGTTGTAGACACAACAATCTCAGCAGATACCTCAACAGCTGAGGGAACAACCTCTCCTTCAGTGGACACAACTGCTGCATATGTGACAACCACGGCAGAACAGACATCTATTGTGGAGGCCACTTCTACAGCTGCAGTCACAACAGCAGGTGCAGGTACTACCACAGCTGAGGGAACAACTAGTCCTGTGGTGGATACAACTGTTGTGGATGCGGTAACAACAGAGGCTCAGACATCCTCTGTTGTAGACACAACAATCTCGGCAGATACCACAACAGCTGAGGGAAGAACTTCTTCTTCAGTGGACACAACTGCTGCAGATGTGACAACCACAGCAGAACAGACATCCATTGCTGAGGTCACTTCTACAGCTGCAGTCACAACAGCAGTTGCAGGTCCTTCCACAGCTGAGGGAACAACTAGGCCTGTGGTGGATACAACTGTTGTGGATGTGGTAACAACAGAGGCACAGACATCTTCTGTTGTAGACACAACAATCTCGGCAGATACCACAACAGCTGAGGGAACAACCTCTCCTTCATTGGATACAACTGTTGCAGATGTGACAACTGCAGCAGAACAGACATCCATTGCTGAGGTCACTTCTACAGCTGCAGTCACAACAGCAGATGCAGGTACTTCCACAGCTGAGGGAACAACTAGTCCTGTGGTGGATACAACTGTTGTGGATGTGGTAACAACAGAGGCTCAGACATCCTCTGTTGTAGACACAACAATCTCAGCAGATACCACAACAGCTGAGGGAACAACCTCTCCGTCATTGGATACAACTGTTGCAGATGTGACAACTGCAGCAGAACAGACATCCATTGCTGAGGTCACTTCTACAGCTGCAGTCACAACAGCAGATGCAGGTACTTCCACAGCTGAGGGAACAACTAGTCCTGTGGTGGATACAACTGTTGTGGATGCCGTAACAACAGAGGCTCAGACATCGTCTGTTGTAGACACAACAATCTCGGCAGATACCACAACAGCTGAGGGAACAACCTCTCCTTCATTGGACACAACTGTTGCAGATGTAACAACCGCAGCAGAACAAACATCCATTGCTGAGGTCACTTCTACAGCTGCAGTCACAACAGCAGTTGCAGGTCCTTCCAGAGCTGAGGGAACAACTAGGCCTGTGGTGGATACAACTGTTGTGGATGTGGTAACAACAGAGGCTCAGACATCCTCTGTTGTAGACACAACAATCTCAGCAGATACCACAACAGCTGAGGGAACAACCTCTCCTTCATTGGACACAACTGTTGCAGATGTGACAACTGCAGCAGAACAGACATCTATTGCGGAGGCCACTTCTACAGCTGCAGTCACAACAGCAGGTGCAGGTACTACCACAGCTGAGGGAACAACTAGTCCTGTGGTGGATACAACTGTTGTGGATGCGGTAACAACAGAGGCTCAGACATCCTCTGTTGTAGACACAATAATCTCGGCAGATACCACAACAGCTGAGGGAAGAACTTCTTCTTCAGTGGACACAACTGCTGCAGATGTGACAACCACAGCAGAACAGACATCCATTGCTGAGGTCACTTCTACAGCTGCAGTCACAACAGCAGTTGCAGGTACTTCCACAGCTGAGGGAACAACTAGGCCTGTGGTGGATACAACTGTTGTGGATGCGGTAACAACAGAGGCACAGACATCTTCTGTTGTAGACACAACAATCTCGGCAGATACCACAACAGCTGAGGGAACAACCTCTCCTTCATTGGATACAACTGTTGCAGATGTGACAACTGCAGCAGAACAGACATCCATTGCTGAGGTCACTTCTACAGCTGCAGTCACAACAGCAGATGCAGGTACTTCCACAGCTGAGGGAACAACTAGTCCTGTGGTGGATACAACTGTTGTGGATGTGGTAACAACAGAGGCACAGACATCTTCTGTTGTAGACACAACAATCTCAGCAGATACCACAACAGCTGAGGGAAGAACTTCTTCTTCAGTGGACACAACTGCTGCAGATGTAACAACCGCAGCAGAACAGACATCCATTGCTGAGGCCACTTCTGCAGCTGCAGTGACAACACCTGGTGCAGGTACTACCACAGCAGAGGGAACAACTAGTCCTGTGGTGGATACAACTGTTGTGGATATGGTAACAACAGAGGCACAACATCTTCTGTTGTGGACACAACAATTTCAGCAGATACCACAACAGCTGAGGGAACAACCTCTCCTTCAGTGGACACAACTGCTGCAGATGTAACAACCGCAGCAGAACAGACATCGATTGCTGAGGTCACTTCTACAGCTGCAGTCACAACAGCAGATGCAGGTACTACCACAGCTGAGGGAACAACTACTGTGGTGGATACAACTGTTGTGGATGCGGTTACAACAGAGGCACAGACATCTTCTGTTGTAGACACAACAATCTCAGCAGATACCACAACAGCTGAGGGAAGAACTTCTCCTTCTTCAGTGGACACAACTGCTGCAGATGTGACAACCACGGCAGAACAGACATCTATTGTGGAGGCCACTTCTACAGCTGCAGTCACAACAGCAGGTGCAGGTACTACCACAGCTGAGGGAACAACTAGTCCTGTGGTGGATACAACTGTTGTGGATGCGGTAACAACAGAGGCTCAGACATCCTCTGTTGTAGACACAACAATCTCGGCAGATACCACAACAGCTGAGGGAAGAACTTCTTCTTCAGTGGACACAACTGCTGCAGATGTGACAACCACAGCAGAACAGACATCCATTGCTGAGGTCACTTCTACAGCTGCAGTCACAACAGCAGTTGCAGGTCCTTCCACAGCTGAGGGAACAACTAGTCCTGTGGTGGATACAACTGTTGTGGATGCGGTAACAACAGAGGCACAGACATCTTCTGTTGTAGACACAACAATCTCGGCAGATACCACAACAGCTGAGGGAACAACCTCTCCTTCATTGGACACAACTGTTGCAGATGTGACAACTGCAGCAGAACAGACATCCATTGCTGAGGTCACTTCTACAGCTGCAGTCACAACAGCAGATGCAGGTACTACCACAGCTGAGGGAACAACTAGTCCTGTGGTGGATACAACTGTTGTGGATGTGGTAACAACAGAGGCACAGACATCTTCTGTTGTAGACACAACAATCTCAGCAGATACCACAACAGCTGAGGGAACAACTTCTTCTTCAGTGGACACAACTGCTGCAGATGTAACAACCGCAGCAGAACAGACATCCATTGCTGAGGCCACTTCTGCAGCTGCAGTCACAACACCTGGTGCAGGTACTTCCACAGCAGAGGGAACAACTAGTCCTGTGGTGGATACAACTGTTGTGGATATGGTAACAACAGAGGCTCAGACATCCTCTGTTGTAGACACAACAATCTCAGCAGATACCTCAACAGCTGAGGGAACAACCTCTCCTTCAGTGGACACAACTGCTGCATATGTGACAACCACGGCAGAACAGACATCTATTGTGGAGGCCACTTCTACAGCTGCAGTCACAACAGCAGGTGCAGGTACTACCACAGCTGAGGGAACAACTAGTCCTGTGGTGGATACAACTGTTGTGGATGCGGTAACAACAGAGGCTCAGACATCCTCTGTTGTAGACACAACAATCTCGGCAGATACCACAACAGCTGAGGGAAGAACTTCTTCTTCAGTGGACACAACTGCTGCAGATGTAACAACCGCAGCAGAACAGACATCCATTGCTGAGGTCACTTCTACAGCTGCAGTCACAACAGCAGATGCAGGTACTTCCACAGCTGAGGGAACAACTAGTCCTGTGGTGGATACAACTGTTGTGGATGTGGTAACAACAGAGGCACAGACATCTTCTGTTGTAGACACAACAATCTCGGAAGATACCACAACTGCTGAGGGAACAACCTCTCCTTCATTGGATACAACTGTTGCAGATGTGACAACTGCAGCAGAACAGACATCCATTGCAGAGGCCACTTCTGCAGCTGCAGTCACAACAGCAGGTGCAGGTACTACCACAGCTGAGGGAACAACTAGTCCTGTGGTGGATACAACTGTTGTGGATGTGCTAACAACAGAGGCACAGACATCTTCTGTTGTAGACACAACAATCTCGGCAGATACCATAACAGCTGAGGGAAGAACTTCTTCTTCAGTGGACACAACTGCTGCAGATGTCACAACCGCAGCAGAACAGACATCCATTGCTGAGGCCACTTCTGCAGCTGCAGTGACAACACCCGGTGCAGGTACTACCACAGCAGAGGGAACAACTAGTCCTGTGGTGGATACAACTGTTGTTGATATGGTAACAACAGAGGCACAGACATCTTCTGTTGTGGACACAACAATCTCAGCAGATACCACAACAGCTGAGGGAACCACCTCTCCTTCAGTGGACACAACTGCTGCAGATGTACAACCGCAGCAGAACAGACATACATTGCTGAGGTCACTTCTACAGCTGCAGTCACAACAGCAGATGCAGGTACTACCACAGCTGAGGGAACAACTACTGTTGTGGATGCGGTAACAACAGAGGCACAGACATCTTCTGTTGTAGACAGAACAATCTCAGCAGATACCACAACAGCTGAGGGAACAACTTCTTCTTCAGTGGACACAACTGCTGCAGATGTGACAACCACAGCAGAACAGACATCCATTGCTGAGGCCACTTCTACAGCTGCAGTCACAACAGCAGGTGCAGTCACTACCACAGCAGAGGGAACAACTAGTCCTGTGGTGGATACAACTGTTGTGGATGTGGTAACAACAGAGGCTCAGACATCCTCTGTTGTAGACACAACAATCTCAGCAGATACCTCAACAGCTGAGGGAACAACCTCTCCTTCAGTGGACACAACTGCTGCATATGTGACAACCACAGCAGAACAGACATCTATTGCGGAGGCCACTTCTACAGCTGCAGTCACAACAGCAGGTGCAGGTACAACTACAGCTGAGGGAACAACTACTGTTGTGGATACAACTGTTGTGGATGTGGTAACAACAGAGGCACAGACATCCTCTGTTGTAGACACAACAGTCTCAGCAGATACCACAACAGCTGAGGGAACAACCTCTCCTTCAGTGGACACAACTGCTGCAGATGTCACAACCGCAGCAGATCAAACATCCATTGCTGAGGCCACTTCTGCAGCTGCAGTCACAACAGCAGGTGCAGGTACTTCCACAGGTGAGGGAACAACTAGTCCTGTGGTGGATACAACTGTTGTGGATGCGGTAACAACAGAGGCTCAGACATCGTCTGTTGTAGACACAACAATCTCGGCAGATACCACAACAGCTGAGGGAACAACCTCTCCTTCATTGGATACAACTGTTGCAGATGTGACAACTGCAGCAGAACAGACATCCATTGCTGAGGTCACTTCTACAGCTGCAGTCACAACAGCAGTTGCAGGTACTTCCAATGCTGAGGGAACAACTAGGCCTGTGGTGGATACAACTGTTGTGGATGCGGTAACAACAGAGGCTCAGACATCCTCTGTTGTAGACACAACAATCTCGGCAGATACCACAACAGCTGAGGGAACAACCTCTCCTTCATTGGATACAACTGTTGCAGATGTGACAACTGCAGCAGAACAGACATCGATTGCAGAGGCCACTTCTACAGCTGCAGTCACAACAGCAGGTGCAGGTACTACCACAGCGGAGGGAACAACTAGTCCTTTGGTGGATACAACTGTTGTGGATGTGGTTACAACAGAGGCACAGACATCTGTTGTAGACACAACAATCTCGGCAGATACCACAACAGCTGAGAGAACAACTTCCCCTTCAGTGGACACAACTGCTGCAGATGTGACAACTACAGCAGAACAGACATCCATTGCTGAGGCAACTTCTACTGCTGCAGTCACAACAGCAGGTGCAGGTACTACCACAGCTGAGGGAACAACTAGTCCTGTGGTGGACACAACTGTTGTGGATGCCGTAACAACAGAGGCTCAGACATCGTCTGTTGTAGACACAACAATCTCGGCAGATACCACAACAGCTGAGGGAACAACCTCTCCTTCATTGGATACAACTGTTGCAGATGTGACAACTGCAGCAGAACAGACATCCATTGCAGAGGCCACTTCTACAGCTGCAGTCACAACAGCAGGTGCAGGTACTACCACAGCTGAGGGAACAACTAGTCCTGTGGTGGATACAACTGTTGTGGATGTGGTAACAACAGAGGCTCAGACATCCTCTGTTGTAGACACAACAGTCTCAGCAGATACCACAACAGCTGAGGGAACAACCTCTCCGTCAGTGGACACAACTGCTGCAGATGTAACAACCGCAGCAGAACAAACATCCATTGCTGAGGCCACTTCTGCAGCTGCAGTCACAACAGCAGGTGCAGGTACTACCACAGCTGACGGAACAACTAGTCCTGTGGTGGATACAACTGTTGTGGATGTGGTAACAACAGAGGCTCAGACATCCTCTGTTGTAGACACAACAATCTCAGCAGATACCTCAACAGCTGAGGGAACAACCTCTCCTTCAGTGGACACAACTGCTGCAGATGTGACAACTGCTGCAGAACAGACATCTATTGCGGAGGCCACTTCTACAGCTGCAGTCACAACAGCAGGTGCAGGTACTACCACAGCTGAGGGAACAACTACTGTTGTGGATACAACTGTTTTGGATGTGGTAACAACACAGGCACAGACATCTTCTGTTGTAGACACAACAATCTCAGCAGATACCACAACAGCTGAGGGAAGAACTTCTCCTTCAGTTGACACAACTGCTGCAGATGTTTCAACCGCAGCAGAACAAACATCCATTGCTGAGGCCACTTCTGCAGCTGCAGTCACAACAGCAGGTGCAGGTACTACCACAGCTGAGGGAACAAGTAGTCCTGTGGTGGATACAACTGTTGTGGATGTGGTAACAACAGAGGCACAGACATCTTCTGTTGTGGACACAACAATCTCAGCAGATACCACAACAGCTGAGGGAACAACTCCTTCAGTGGACACAACTGCTGCAGATGTGACAACCACAGCAGAACAGACATCCATTGCTTTGGCCACTTCTACTGCTGCAGTCACAACAGCAGGTGCAGGTACTACCACAGCTGAGGGAACAACTAGTCCTGTGGTGGATACAACTGTTGTGGATGTGGTAACAACAGAGGCTCAGACATCCTCTGTTGTAGACACAACAGTCTCAGCAGATACCACAACAGCTGAGGGAACAACCTCTCCTTCAGTGGACACAACTGCTGCAGATGTCACAACCGCAGCAGAACAAACATCCATTGCTGAGGCCACTTCTGCAGCTGCAGTCACAACAGCAGGTGCAGGTACTACCACAGCTGAGGGAACAACTAGTCCTTTGGTGGATACAACTGTTGTGGATGTGGTAACAACAGAGGCACAGACATCTTCTGTTGTAGACACAACAATCTCGGCAGATACCATAACAGCTGAGGGAACAACCTCTCCTTCATTGGATACAACTGTTGCAGATGTGACAACTGCAGCAGAACAGACATCCATTGCTGAGGTCACTTCTACAGCTGCAGTCACAACAGTAGATGCAGGTACTTCCACAGCTGAGGGAACAACTAGGCCTGTGGTGGATACAACTGTTGTGGATGCGGTAACAACAGAGGCACAGACATCTTCTGTTGTAGAGACAACAATCTCAGCAGATACCACAACTGCTGAGGGAAGAACTTCTTCTTCAGTGGACACAACTGCTGCAGATGTCACAACCGCAGCAGAACAGACATCCATTGCTGAGGCCACTTCTGCAGCTGCAGTGACAACACAGGTGCAGGTACTACCACAGCAGAGGGAACAACTAGTCCTGTGGTGGATACAACTGTTGTGGATATGGTAACAACAGAGGCACAGACATCTTCTGTTGTGGACACAACAATCTCAGCAGATACCACAACAGCTGAGGGAACAACCTCTCCTTCAGTGGACACAACTGCTGCAGATGTAACAACCGCAGCAGAACAGACATCCATTGCTGAGGTCACTTCTACAGCTGCAGTCACAACAGCAGATGCAGGTACTACCACAGCTGAGGGAACAACTACTGTGTGGATACAACTGTTGTGGATGCGGTAACAACAGAGGCACAGACATCTTCTGTTGTAGACACAACAATCTCAGCAGATACCACAACAGCTGAGGGAAGAACTTCTTCTTCAGTGGACACAACTGCTGCAGATGTGACAACCACAGCAGAACAGACATCCATTGCTGAGGCCACTTCTACAGCTGCAGTCACAACAGCAGGTGCAGTCACTACCACAGCAGAGGGAACAACTAGTCCTGTGGTTGATACAACTGTTGTGGATGTGGTAACAACAGAGGCTCAGACATCCTCTGTTGTAGACACAACAATCTCAGCAGATACCTCAACAGCTGAGGGAACAACCTCTCCTTCAGTGGACACAACTGCTGCAGATGTAACAACCGCAGCAGAACAGACATCCATTGCGGATGCCACTTCTGCAGCTGCAGTCACAACAGCAGGTGCAGGTACTACCACAGCTGAGGGAACAACTAGTCCTGTGGTGGATACAACTGTTGTGGATGCGGTAACAACAGAGGCTCAGACATCGTCTGTTGTAGACACAACAATCTCAGCAGATACCACAACAGCTGAGGGAACAACCTCTCCTTCAGTGGACACAACTGCTGCAGATGTAACAACCGCAGCAGAACAGACATCCATTGCGGAGGCCACTTCTGCAGCTGCAGTCACAACAGCAGGTGCAGGTACTACCACAGCTGAGGGAACAACTAGTCCTGTGGTGGATACAACTGTTGTGGATGCGGTAACAACAGAGGCTCAGACATCGTCTGTTGTAGACACAACAATCTCGGCAGATACCACAACAGCTGAGGGAACAACCTCTCCTTCAGTGGACACAACTGCTGCAGATGTAACAACCGCAGCAGAACAGACATCCATTGCTGAGGCCACTTCTGCAGCTGCAGTCACAACAGCAGGTGCAGGTACTACCACAGCTGAGGGAACAACTAGTCCTGTGGTGGATACAACTGTTGTGGATGCGGTAACAACAGAGGCTCAGACATCGTCTGTTGTAGACACAACAATCTCGGCAGATACCACAACAGCTGAGGGAACAACCTCTCCTTCATTGGATACAACTGTTACAGATGTGACAACTGCAGCAGAACAGACATCCATTGCTGAAGTCACTTCTACAGCTGCAGTCACAACAGCAGTTGCAGGTACTTCCAGTGCTGAGGGAACAACTAGGCCTGTGGTGGATACAACTGTTGTGGATGCGGTAACAACAGAGGGTCAGACATCCTCTGTTGTAGACACAACAATCTCGGCAGATACCACAACAGCTGAGGGAACAACCTCTCCTTCATTGGATACAACTGTTGCAGATGTGACAACTGCAGCAGAACAGACATCGATTGCAGAGGCTACTTCTACAGCTGCAGTCACAACAGCAGGTGCAGGTACTACCACAGCGGAGGGAACAACTAGTCCTTTGGTGGATACAACTGTTGTGGATGTGGTTACAACAGAGGCACAGACATCTGTTGTAGACACAACAATCTCGGCAGATACCACAACAGCTGAGAGAACAACTTCCCCTTCAGTGGACACAACTGCTGGAGATGTGACAACCACAGCAGAACAGACATCCATTGCTGAGGCCACTTCTAC